ATAGTACATTCCTCATTGTGGTAAAGAATTCTATTGGTGCAGGTGTATAACGATCTAGTATGGACCTGTACCATTTTGTACAAATCTTATCCTTTAATCTATGCCCTGGTCCACGTGTCCTTGAGGAATTCCCGCTCTTTCTTGATTGACTTCGAGATTGTGATGCCCTCGATGCAAGTCGTTCCAGGCCCTCGATTAGCTTCCTCGAGGTGGGTGTCCCTTAGCCGGATCCGACCTCCACCTTTAGTCTCCCAGACTCGAACCTAAAGCCCGATTTAAGACTTCAAAATCATGCTCATCGATTTTGACCGTATACAGATAGTCCCCGCGTTTCTTAGAATGAAATGACATGAAACGATTTGGATTCCCGAAGTCATTTATGATGACACCATTCTTATGATGTAAGCGTTGAAATGATCGAAGCGTCCCGTCAGTTCTTTTCCCCAAAAATACTAAATGCGCGTCAGAGCCGGTCGACCATCATTACTAGTGAACCGTCGCCGCCTTCCACTATATATATTTTATTTCTCTTCTCATTAAGGATTTTTCCACCCTACAACATCTATTCTCTTCTATACTTTTCCCCAGTTCCTCTGTTGCATCAGCTCAAAACCTTGTTGGTTCCCTCATTTTCTTCCTTCTTTTCCTAAGGCACTGATGGCAAAATCTTCCAAGTGTGTTCCTCAGAAAGAAGATAACTCTACTTCTACACCCCGTCAGGCCGGCTGTAAACCGCCAGCTCTTCATGAGACCGTATCAGGCAGATTTTCCTTAAAGAAGGACTTTATAGTCGAAAACCCTCCCGCCGTTGCCGGCCGTCGAGAGCATGCATCGAGGTCTTCACCCTTTCAATATCAGCTGAGAGATCGAAGCCGCGAGCATGTACCTCCTCGAGGGTTTCCCTCGGGGGCTGTCGCCTAGCATGGCCGAGTGCACATGATAACTTAACTTCGGCCATAGTGGAGATCTCCTTTGCCCTGACATTAGCTGCTTCAGCATCGGCTCGGTACGAAAACATAATTGCCTCAGCATCAGATTTGGCCTTGGCTAGCTCAATAACAAATTTAGCTTTAAGCTCCTCGATTTTGCGGCCCCGAGTCAGGCTCTCCTCCTTCATGCTTCGAAACTGGCGTTCGAGTGAAGCTAGCTGCTCCCGAAGGGTTTCTTTTTCAGAGGCAAGATTGTCCATGCCTTGCCTCTACCCCAAGGTTTCGGCCTCCTTCATCTTGAGCTCCTCTCGGAGCTGCTCCACCAGTTCGCCCTTTTGTTGAAACTGTAAAATAGAATTGTTAGAAGACCGATCAGGATAATACATAAAAAAACTTTAGAGGGAATATTACCTTTTTGGTGAGCTCGAGTTTTTCTTGGCAAGTCTTTGTCAGTGCGGCCCGAAGATTGTTGATCTCCTCCTCTTTCTTAATATAGAGGGTTTTAAGACTGTCCATCTCTTCCGAGATCTTCTTAAGCTCGGCCTCACATCGAGCAAGATCAGCTCGAGACTTGTAATGCCTTTTTATGGAGTATCACAGCCTACACAAAAAGGGGAAAAGTTAGACTCAGAACAGCAAAGACAAAGCGCAAGCGTAATTCTAAAGGATAGAAAACTCACTTGTTTGAAGAGCCAACGAGCCTCATCGAAGATGAAAGAAGCATCTGGGTCGGGGCCATCTTCAATCCCTACAAGGCATTCTTGAAAGATAACATGCCCTTCGTGGCTCGCCCCCACATCAGAAGTTCTCATGTTCTTAGCATCTCGGATCTGCCCCTCGGAGAACTTGGGACCAGGCGGCGAGTCATCCACATTGATTACCCCAAGTGATCCACTCGGGGCATTCTCTTCTATTTGAAGGGGCTCGGGACCGGGCCCCTCGGTATCACCCTCCAAGACGAGGAGCCCTCTTGCTGCCCGATGGCTCGGGGACTTTGCTCGAACTCCTCTTAGAGATTTTTTCGATTCTAGGGTGAACCGCGTATGCCGCCACCAGTTCGGCAGACTTCGAAGCACCAGTGCTTCCTCTCTTACGAGCTACCAACAGGCAGTCGTCATCTTCTTCTTCTTCCTGGTCCCGAAGGCATTGGGCCGTGCCTGGAGATAAGGCTACAGTATCAGCCTTAGGCTTTCAAACCGTGCTCTTCTTTGGCCTCGTTGTAGTTACAGGCGACCCCCTCTTTCTCTTCTTCCCTTTGGGAGGCTTTGGGATCTCTTCTTCGCCGGCCGGGGGCGGCCGCATAGCAACAGCATCTCCGAAGCCTGCATATAAACAAAGTAAGCATCTCGCTGAGAAACACAAGTAAACAGACAAAAGAACTCGCCATGGTTTTTAGCTTTCCATCGGCCTTTGGCCAGGTCACGCTAGCAGCGCTCCGAGTATGAGGAAGTAAAGGCCAGTTTTCGGATCCAACCTTCGAGGTCTGGGACCGCTCCAGGAAACAAAGCGACAACTGCACCATCGGAAAGGGGTTAGATCGAGAAAAAGACAAAATCGTGAAAAAAGAAGGGAAGCAAGGTATAAAGTTACTATGTATTTACGTTTCATGTTCTATTCCTCGGGGAATTGCATCCTCTAAGTAGAAATCAGGTCAGAGGTCCAGACTCGGACAAACCGGCTCATCTATCCTCGGTCTTTGTCCTCATCGATGCTGGAGAAGAGAGACTTCGAGGACGGCATTGCAGTTTTATCAAGCCACCTCGATAAAGTCGAGGACTGTACAACCTGATCAGATGGTCGAGGGTGAAAGGCATCCCCTCGACCTGGCTCGAGAAGAATTTGATCAAATGAGTGATTCGCCAGAATGAAGGGTAGATCTGGCCAAGCGTCACTTGGAATCGTTGGCAGAAGTGGAGAATAACGGGATCTATGGGACCCAGAGCTGGATTTGTGAGGCCCAGCGTGAATGGGCAAGTATACACGCTCAAGTACCCCGCTTTGTGTGTAGTGATATCCTCCTCAGGGGAAGGGATCACTACCTCTTTGTTTTCCCAATTACAGTCTTTCTTCACCTATTTGAGCTCATCCTCGGTTATCAAACAGACGTATCGAGACATGGGCTCACATCGGCCTAGTGTCGATACAGGTTTTTCGATCTTAAAATCGAATGTTATTTCACACGGCGGGGGAATACACTCCTCAATACGAGGTGGCACTACCGCTTTACTTTTGGCCGGTCAAAAAGATGAAGAAGCTTTTCCTTTTCGGGGAACCGATTTAGATGTCTTAGCCATTGTGATGCAGAAATTCAAGGAAGTAGAGAGGGTTGATGATGAAGTAAGGGTAAATAGAAGAGAAGGGAGAACTCAGGAAAGTTGAAAGGCTAATGAGATTTTGAGAACAATGTGAGAATAAAGTTTGCAAAGTTATGAAGTTGATCTATTTATAGAAGTCACTTAAGCGTATTGAGGAAGCCAAATAGCCGACCGTCAGTTGCCACCAATTAATGACTTTGGGAATCGCACGAAAAGCAACCTTTTAGTCACTTCAGCCGCTAACATCATGAGATTGGCATCAGGATCGAGGCGTCGAGCATCGAAGATCAAATCATTTCTTATCGGCCTACTCTAAGAAACGCGGGGACTATCTGTATACGGTCAAAATCATATGCCTCCGATTTATAGGCTCGTGGGTCCATCCTAGGCCCAAGTCCGAGTGAGGTCGTGCATTGGATTCGACCTCGAAGACAGAGTGCAATGCTCGAGAGATAGGAGTACGAGGAGTACCAAGGCTGAGTATGCTCGACCTTGAAATAGTACCGTTATGGACTTACAACAGAATGAACAGATTCGTGCCACGTCCCCAAAATCATGGCGCAAATCCCGGATAGGATTGTACGTTTCCGTACTAGGCGGTTAGACGGCTGTACCAAGAATATTCCTTACTGTAAATAGAAATATACCTTATTTAGGGCTCCCCTATTATATAAAGGGGACTCCAGTCATTTGTAACATCCATCTAATCATTGAGAAAAGAATATACTCTCTACTTTTTGCCTACTGTTCATCAGAATTTTCCTTTAGCTCTGCTGCTCTTACTTTACTTTTTCTTGCTTAATAGTTCTTACTGTTCTAAACCCACCTCGAGGTCACTAAGCTCGAGATCACTGCTGCTGAGTTACATTGGTTTGATTCACTTATTTGCTTTCACTTCTACTTCATATTTTTTTTTATTAATTGGTATTGAACTAAATCACATATCTTTAGAATCACAAATCAAATTTAATTGTTACTCGTATTTTCGAGGTAAACAAGTATCTAATTATTTTCACTTTTATTTTAAAAAGAACTGATGTCCAAATTAAAAATGAAAAAAAAAAAGTGCTCTGAGAGTTCCGTCCTTCATTCCTTTTAAAAGAAAGTATTTAATGATTTAGGAAAGATTACTCTTCACATTAAGTGAGTTTCCCAGCGCAGATGTTGACACAGGCTATATACATATAGTAAGCAACTTCGGGTAAACGAATTTGTAGTTTAATATATCATTCTAATAATAGTATAATAACCAATGGACCACTTCAAAATCCAACGCCCACTCATCCTCCTACCCTTGCCTCGCCTCGTCTCGTCTCGTATCTTCTCTTACTAAATCTGACTCGCTAGGAAACGTACCTTACAATGGTTATAAAATCTACTCCCTCCGTTTCATATTAAATGAGATACTTTCCTTTTTTAGTTTGTTCCAAAACAAATGATACATTTCTAAATTTAGAAATAATTCAACTTTAAACTCTTCATTTTACCATTTTTCCCCTTAATGAGAAGCTTTTATAGCCACACAAATGGCATGGCCCTACAAACCTTTTACCCCTTAAACTTTTAAGACCACAAGTTTCAAAAATCTTTTTCTTTTTTCTTAAACTCCGTGCCGAGTCAAACTGCCTCAAATAATATGCTTAATTACAAAACATGTCATTCACAGAACTTTTGCCATTAACCATCTGGTAGTCACCAACCAGTCAAAATCAACCACCGTCAAACCCTTACTCCTCTTCAAACAAGTAGTCATTTCTTCTTTACAAATTCCAAAAAATTATCTTTATCTCTCTCTCTCTGATAATTTTTTGATCAGCTAATTTTTTGTCTATGGTATACATCCTTTGCATATACAATGACGGAGATACCGCCTAACAGCCAGATGCAAACAATGTTGCAGAAGGCAGTGCAATCGGTTCAATGGACATATACTCTTTTCTGGCAATTATGTCCCCAACAAGGGTACGTTTTTCTTCCGATCATTTTGTTGAATAGTGGCGATATCGAAAATACTGAGTTGAATACTGAATTTTGAAATATGGATATCTAATTCTATTTATATTTATTTTTTACCTAAATTCTACTGAACTCATGATTGAATCCGCCATTGTCATTGAATAAAAAGATGTTCCTTTTGTCTAACTTGTATCGCACTTTTCATTTCAATATACGGGTGGAAAACAAATTAAGTGCTTACAAGGGTATGTCTTTCTTTCATATCAAAAATCATCTTAATGAACAAAAAGGAGGATTCGGAATTTAGATTTTTTTTAAGGAAGGACAGTTGATTGTAATAAATATATATCTAACTCTATTTATACTTATCTTTATTTTACATTGCGAGCTCGAGGACTCAAGGCGGAATCGGCCACTATCATTGAATACAGATTATTTCCCTTGTCTAAATTTTTATTGCACTTTCAATTTCAAAACATGATAAGTACTTAATATATATTATATGGAAATGTATTTTACTGTTTCACAGGGTGTTAGCGTGGAGAGATGGATATTACAATGGGGCTATAAAGACTAGAAAGACAGTGCAGCCAATGGAAGTTAGCGCTGAGGAAGCTTCTCTTCACAGAAGCCAACAGCTTAGAGAACTTTACGAATCACTTTCCGCCGGCGAGTCAAATCAGCCGGCGAGAAGGCCGTCAGCAGCTTTGTCACCGGAGGACTTGACGGAATCCGAGTGGTTTTATCTCATGTGTGTTTCTTTCTCTTTTCCTCCTGGCATCGGGTAAGTTCCTCAGCTACCATATCATTCTTTGTAAAATAATTACTAGGATATACTTATCCTGTTGTACCGTTTACCTATCTTATTTTTCATGTTACTAAACCTACTTATTATGGACGTTTATTTTATCAGTAGTTACTTTTTCAATTTAAGTTAGATATACTAATATGAAAACAAAAGTTTTCAATTTAGCTGGTTATAATAAGTCTTACTTTACTTTTTGAGTTATTTTATAAGGATTAGTATGCAAAATCAAAAGGTATTGTAGGTCAACGTAATCTAATAAATGGTGCAAAAAATTAATACGCTACAAGTAAACAAAACTTAAACTCTTATCTTTTAAGTGATTTGATAATGTAAAATTCTTTACCTTTGAACATGTACCGAAGTTATAATACTCAAAAGAAATTTATGGGATAAATAATAATCCCCTTCTTCCAAATTGCAAACTACTCTCTATTTTCATCCCGACAAAGAATTAGTATAACAACTTCCTAGCGTTAGTAGACCTTTTTACTAGTGTGAGCACACGATATCCATTATTCACCATACAAAGTAGTAGTAGTAATTAATTGGAGAGAGTATAAGGGTTGTTACATCGAAATAAAAGCGAGAATACACAAAAGAAGCAACTTCAACTGTGACTTCCCTAAGTAAAAGATTGATGAGAAACCATATATATTGATAGAAACTCTTTCAAGTCTGTTTGCTAAAGATTAATAAATGTGCTGATAAAATAAGATGTATGGTAACTTTAATGCTTGCTCTTCTTCCTTGATGTGGGAATAATTCAATTTGCTGTATTAATGGGTTGTTTATCGCTTTAGGAATACTGGGAATAACAATTTAGAAAAATTGTTACTATTACTGAAGAAATTATTATTTAACTGTACATGTCTTTTTTTTCTTTGTTTAATATTGTCTTTTGCAATACGCATATAGTAGGACAAAATAGTAACTGTATACGTATGTTTTTTTGGCATTATTATGTGTCGCCGCCCCACCTAAACGAATCTCAAAAAGAAATTATGGAGGAAAAAAAATAAAAATAAAAAAGAAAGAAAGATTTAGGCACATTAAAAGGCGAATTCAGGATTTGAACTATTTTTACTCTATTCCTAGAGTATGCTTGCTTGATTTCTAAGCTTTGAGTACCGTGTTACTCCGACCATTCTAAATGATCAATTTTTAAATTTAAAATATTTAACTTAGAACTTTTGGTCTTGGTAATGAAAAAACTTCTATTACCACATAAACGTATTGATTGTCCCAAGATTACAAATTTAAACGATATAATCTTAAAATCACTTATATTTCCGTATATTCATTTATTTCTAAGTTTTATGCTCATCAAAACATGATGATAATAGGGGTCGCAAAATGGTTAAAAAAAACAGTTAACCATCCATATTATCCACTAAAAAAAGGGTTGGATAATGAACTATTTAAAAACGAGTCAAATATGGATAAGAACCATATTATCCATTTAGAAAATGGATAACTAATGAGTAACCCATGGATAACTAATGGGTCTAACTTTTACATTTGTAAAGCCTCAAATTGGGGGTTCCTCAAGTTAGGGAGACTAAGAATTCTTCCAAAAGTGATCATATGCAAGAAGTCATGGAAAATATGGTTACCCATATTATCTGCGAGTTACCCGTTTTTTATTCGTATTAAATATGGATCAGGACGGATAATTTACTTGTTTTTTCATTACCCATTTTTGGCCCGAACCATATCCGACCCGACCCGACCCATCCGTTTGCCGCTCTCATACGAGAACTACTCCGAAATTTGCTGCTTGTTAGTACCAAGGGACAGTAATTCTCATTCCAAGAACTGATGGCTAGTAAATATCTAGGACATTCATTCACATAGTGTCATGTCATTGTACCTTTGGTGTAATTAAGGATCAGCATTTTCGTGCAGTAAATATAGTAGGTGTATGTTCCTCAAATATGATTCCCTTTTCTCCACATGCATAAGCACAGATTTTGCATGTACTACCTGTATATATAGGTGAGTACTTAAATTGTAAACATTATCTCTGAGTTCTGACCATTATTATTTCATGAAAAAAAAAAAAAAAAAAGATTACCTGGCAAGGCTTATTCAAAGAAGCATCACATATGGATCATGGGCGCAAACGAGGTTGATAGCAAAGTCTTCTGTAGAGCTATTCTTGCCAAGGTATATACAACCATCTTTTTGACTCTTCAGTATTGAATTTGAATATATAGCATATTTGATGCTAAATTAATTGACGTTGCTTCTTAATTAACTTTTAGAGGTTACAGCTTAAATTAATTACTTTAGGAATTGTGCCTCAAGATAATAAACTGTTATTTTTCTCTCTTCCAGCAATTTAATTAACTGGTTATTTTCTTGTTGTTTCTTGACGGTAACTGACATGCCTACTAGAGCGCCCGCATACAGGTAATAACAGACCCTTTCACATATTAATTTACTTGTTCACTTTGGTAATCAATAAAAATTAATTTTTTTTCCTTCTAATTTTACCTTTATCATTAAATAACCATTTTCCAAACTAACTGGTGTATTGGTAATCAAATTTAGATTTTTAAAGTACCACTAATAAAGATAATTTAGTAAAATTAACACTTGATTAATGTTTTCTTAAAGGGATTACTCCCTCTGTTCCAGTTTATGTGAACCTATTTCCTTTTTGGTTCGTTCCAGAAAGAATGACCCCTTTATAAATTTGGTAACAATTTAGCTTAAACTTACAATTCTACCCTTAATGAGAAGCTTTTATAACCACACAAATACTCTGGGACCCTTTTAGACTTGTTTAAGACCATAAAGTCCAAAAGTCTTCATTTTTTCTTAAACTTGGCCAATCAAACATGTTCACATAAATTGGAACGGAGGGAGTACAAAATAGAAACCGGACAAGTAAAAAGAAAGAAGGGAATACTTCATTTCCCAAAAAGAATAATACTCTCTATTCTTTTTCCTAATTAATACTTTGAGCCCGTTTGGACATAAATTTTTTTTCCTTTTCTCCAAAATAATTTCACTTTTTTTCGAAATCAACGTTTGTTCATAAAATTTTCAATTTTCACTTGAAGATGCATTTTGAAAATTTTCAAAAATTTGAAAACTCCAAAAAGCTATTTTCAAAATTTTCACTTAAATCACTCACAAAATTTTAAAAACAACCCAAATACCATTTTCACTTTGAAAATATTTTCACCATTTTTTAAAATTTTACAATTCTTATGTCCAAACGCCTACTTTATCATTGTTCACAATGTATGCAGACGGTCGTTGGTATTCCTCTCTTGGATGGTGTACTGGAACTGGGAACTACAGAAAGGGTAAAACAGAAAACAAAAGCTCAATATATTTACGTTAATACAATTTGCAGTAATTTAATGTTAAGAATTTAGGTCCATCTCAATGAAGTTTAACTTGTGCAATTTTTTTGTACATATCCATGACGTGATGAACAACATATATATATATATATATATATATATATATATATAGGTTCAAGAAGAGATTGGGTTCATAAACCATGTAAAGAGCTTTTTCACTGAGCAACAACAACCTCAGCTACCAAAGCCAGCCTTATCTGAGCACTCCACTTCCAATCCCACCACCTTTTCCGAGCCACATTTTTACTCCGGCAATACTTCGCTATCTGCTAATGTTGATGTTGCGCATCAAGATGGCGGAGCTGCCGGCGAAGAAGATGAGGAGGAGGAAGACGAGGAAGAAGAAGATGATGAAGCCGAGTTGGACTCGGATAGTATAGCGATTCAAAGTGCGGCTAATCCTATAGCCGTTGAGGCTAGTGAACTCATGCAGCTTGATATGTCCGAGGCTATACAGCTTGGCTCGCCCGATGATGGCTCTGATAATATGGACTCTGATTTTCATTTGGTTGGCGCTGGAAACACGGCTGACTACCAGCGCCAAGCTGACTCTTTCAAAGCCGAGACCGCCATTAGCTGGGCGCACTTCCAAGACCTTCAACAATTACCAGGTACTCCAATACGAAATTTAAGAAAAAAATACATAAATTTTGAAAAAATAATAAACTTTTAAAACTAACCGCATTAAACACATGATGTAACATTGTGTAGCTATAAGACTTATAAAATTTGTATTGTTAAACATACTATAACATTTATGTAATTATAAAATCTTCTCACTAAGAATAATATTGAAGCTTAAACGTAAAAATATGTCAACGGACTAATAAAGAATGGTGTCATAAAACCCAACGAGCGAGTACTATTATGAGTAAATTACACTAAACGCTCCTATTGATTTAATTGTTCATACATCGTTTGCTACTTTGAGGGAGCACAAAAGTTATCCATAAAATTTTATTTTAAGTTTAAATATCTCTATTTGGAAAAAAATACTTTCACTTAATTAGAGTGAAGGCAAATGTTTCTTGACAATTCAAAACAAAGTTAATCTTAAGGGTATTTTATAAGGAATCATAATATCGGGATAGAATGTGAGAATGTTATTGTATCCCGTGTTTGGTTGATATTTTTATTTCGTTATAAGCAATTCAGGATTATTGGTATCACAATTGTGGTTTTATTTTTATTTCACATTCTATGTCAGATAATAATTACGCTATGATTAATCCCCAATAAAACAATAAATGGAAACATATGCCCTGATCCCAAAAGCTATCCTCAAAGTCTATTTACAAAACTAAGTTTAAATTGAAAATAAGAATTTATCCATGCTTATCTAGTAAAAGCAAAAACAATATGCTTTATAGTATATTCCGTATATCATATTTTTAGTTGGATAGACCAAATATAAACCAATAAAAATATATTCTCTAAATAATCCTGTTATTATTTAAATTCCTATATTATAATCTTTGATTAACTTGTTCACAAACCAAACAACCCTTAAGAGCCTTTTTGGTAGGATACATCAGGAGTTACAATACATTTATAAAACTCAACATCCCTTATATTTAATCCGTCTCAATTTATGTGATATTGTTTGGATGGAAAGTTAAAAAAGAAAGAAACAAAGACTTTTAAAAATTGTAGTCTAATATATATAAGCTATAAATATTTGTGTGGCTATAAGCTATCTTATTAAGAGTAAAATAAGAAGTTTAAAGTTATATTAAATGTATCATTCTTTTACGGGACGAATAAAAAAATATCGTACATGCATAAATTGGGACATAAGAATGTATATTGTTTAGTTGCCATTTTCTTACCCACATACGATTTTGTATAGATATACACTGTTAGGTGCATTTCTTTCCTTATTCAAGTTAATAAGCACATGCATATAGGAATCTATATATCATTTTTTATGGTCTAATTTTTGAATAAGAATGTGCGAGTCTTAGAAATACATGACTTAGAATTAAATCTAACTTATTCTACATTTTAGTTTGCATAGAATTATAGTACATAAAATTTCTCATAATTTATGCAGAATTTATTTATGAAAAAAATAAATAATACTAGTAGCTAATAGACATCATAGTAATAAGGCTGGATTTTAAACTAACAAAACAATTCCTAGCAGTGTAACATAGTATTAAAATTAAATCTAACTTATCTATATTAATAGTGTACATCTTTTTACTATTTTAACCTAGTAGATTTCCTACCTCAATATTACACTCACAAATTTGCAACTACAGGTGACTCTAGTTATGATGAATTATCACAAGAAGACACACACTATTCTCAAACAGTGTCGACCATTCTCGAACACCTCTCAAATCAAAGCTCCAAATTTTCCTCTACAACAATGGGCTGTATTTCTCATGACTCGGCCCAATCTGCCTTCGCATTGTGCCCTAGCACCACCGTCTGCAGCCCGAATCCCGCCCACTGCCGCCGCCGCCGCCACGACGACTCACTTCTCGACAGTGGCGGCGCCTCCCCCTCCTCCCAGCGGCTGCTCAAAAGCATACTCTTCACTGTCCCATTTCTTCACACTAAATACCAATCTGAAGCTTCTCCAAAGTCACGTGACGTCGCCACTGTTGATTCCTCCAGTACTGCTTCTCGCTTTCGCAAAGGCTGTAGTATAACGTCGCAAGAAGAGCCAAGTGGAAACCATGTACTTGCAGAACGACGTCGTAGAGAAAAGCTAAATGAGCGTTTCATCATATTAAGGTCTCTTGTACCTTTTGTAACGAAAATGGATAAAGCCTCCATTTTGGGTGACACCATAGAGTATGTCAAGCAGTTACGTAAGAAAGTTCAGGATCTTGAAGCTCGTGCTCGTCACACGGAGCAGTCCAAAGATGCAGGTACGTTTTTTTTTTTTACACTGTTAATACATACTACGACCTCTGCACATTAAATTTCACACATATAATAGTATATTATTCAATTTATGTGGGACATTACTATTTGGGAAGTTAGAAGAAATTTTCTGTACCATGCTTTTTAAAATATTTCTACATATATTAACTATTATGACTTGCAATAGTAAATATTTAGGTAATTTATGTACTAAATTTTATTTTGAAAACTTGAAGAATCTATAGAATTCATACCAACAATTAATTATTTTAACCCTTGTATTTGAGTTATGTCAATCTAGTACGTAATAGTAGTAAGTTAGCATTACCCCATTTGTTAGTTCCTAAAAATTAGCCCACCAGCACAGTAAAAATATATTTGTATCTTTGACCCTTTCTAACTTTAATTTCGCTGAGATGCCTCATTAAGTTTTTTGAAAGCATTTTCTGTTTGACATGTGAATTGCAAGTCGCAAATTGAAAGCAACAAATCATATAAAAAAAAGGTCTATCAGGAGTACGGATAAAAGGGAGAACCCAAAAAAGAGAATATTGAGGGTGTAATACAAAAATGTACTAGCTAGTAAATATTTTTAATGTGCCAGCAATTTGAAAACTAAAATTTAAAACAATACTAGCCATAATCAGGTCAATTAACAAAATCACACAAATATATAATAGATCGTACTAGTTAAACTTTCCTAACATTAAATTTTGGACTTGACAAAAGATAAAAAAAGTGGCACAGCTACAATGAAGGTGTTGCAAGGAAGGGGTAAGAGGAGAATGAATACGGTAGATGGAAGTGTTGGTGGAGGGCAGGCAAAGATAACGGCGTCCCCGCCGTCAACGACGGAGGATGAGGAGGTTGTGCAAGTAGAAGTATCAATTATTGAAAGCGATGCATTGGTGGAGCTCCGGTGTGCGTACAAAGAGGGGTTGCTGTTAAATGTAATGCAGATGCTAAGGGAACTCAAAGTGGAAGTTGTAGCCATTCAATCGTCTCTTAATAATGGCGTCTTCTTGGCTGAGTTAAGAGCTAAGGTATGGCAAAATTACATTAATCAGTTCTTGGATGACTTTATATTTTTGACAAAAACGAAAATACATACATATATGGCAATATTTTTCTACTAGCTAGAATTAACTTTTATATATACATTGATAATGTAAAGTTTTGTGCATTATCAGTTTAATTTAAAATGTTATAATAGTGAAATAACTATTTCATATTCTTTTTTTTCCAGGTAAAAGAGAATATATATGGAAGGAAAGCAAGCATTCTGGAAGTAAAAAGGTCAATACATCAGATAATCCCTAGAGATTAATTAATCTCCCAGTTTGTCCCAAAAAAGTAGCCTTCTCTTAACTCTTTCAAAACAGGTCGGAAACAAGTGTTGAATACAAATTAAATGCAACTAAAGAGTATGTGTGATTATGAGAAGTTAGATTAAACAATTTCTTTGGGACACACCAAGTAGCGAGTATAGAATAATACAAAATGTGATATAAGAAAATTGCACAGGGAAATGGAAATTAGCAGCTACTGGATATTGATGTGGTTTCCTCACATCTTTAGTATAATATTAACTATGAATCGAAGAGTGATATATATATGTAAAAGTATGTTATAAAGTTATGTAATTCGGAAGTCACAATTTTTCTTCTAGCTTCCTTTTAGGTTTTTGACTTGTTAGCTAGAAAATACTCATGAATGTCTTGAAACTGTCTTTCCATTTTCAGAAATCTTCTGAACTTCATTTGTGCATTAAATTAAATCGTTGAAAACGTCAAAAATTTCTATTCTCAAATTACGACAGTTTCTTATTTTCGTGGTACTCATTTTCTTTCAAGGCGGTATAGAATTTTTCAGTATTCATATTTGTTCCATGCAAAATTTTATTGGAATCAAATCAAGATGGAAGAAACTTGAGGTTCATAGAGCAATCCACTAAAATAAAGCATCGACGATTGATGGCTTAAATATATGTAAACTTCTCAATCAGATTATCTATATATAATCTCTTATCTCTTTCATTTTTTTTCCCTTCCAATTGAATATTGTTAGATTGGGTCGAGTTTTTTTCTTTCTCACTGGGTAATTAAACTTTGCTCTTAATTATTTTACTAGATTTATTAACTTTTTCTCTTGTTCTTGGTGAAGCCTTTCAGGATTTATTTAGTGGAATATTGAATCTGAGAGTTTTTTTTCTTCTCAATTTACTTGGATTGAGGCATAATTGATGTTATGTCTAAGATTTTTTCTATGACCTGAAAGTTTTTCACGTGAAAAAGAAAACCCAAAAGCAAAGGTCGTTCATAAACATAACAAATAAACTGGTAATTTTATAGCAATGGATTTAAGCGATAGATGAATTCTATAGCAGCGAAATCACGATTCCTTTGCTAAATGAGTGAACGGAAAAGAAAAAGCTTATACGATTGATACTGTGAAAATAGTTGACTTTTATCTTAAGGAGTAAGTGATTTAATGCATTCTACCCGATAAGTCTGACACTTTGAATCCTGTTTAGACTGTGGGAACGTCTCTTGTAGGGTCTTCATGTTTGGATGGTATGTCTTTAGACACCCAGCATGGAAGATAGAAGATAGGGTGGATCTTTAGCTTGGACAGAAGCTGAAATTTTAAGGCAATTTGTCAGGTGATTTTATTTTGTGCCTCACACAACTGACATTACTTGTGTAAGGTCTCTTTTATATCACATATTTGTGGACCCATATCTTACACATCTGGGTTCACAAAATTCTGGGACACACACAGTTATGAGACAAAAAAGAGACCTCACATAACTAGTGTAAGTTGTGTGAGACACAAAATAATTTTTTTTCAATTTGTCCTACTTTCTCTAGGAAAGTACACCAACGACTTTTTTCTTGGCAGATAGTGACTTGATGTTGATAATTATCAATAATTCAATATACACAGTAACAGAGCCATCTTGGAAGATAGTGTAAATTAAACTGAAAAGAGAATCTGTTTGACAGTGAATGTATCAACCCGTGCCATGGAAAAAACAAGATTAGTCACTTTCCAATAAACGGAGCCATGCATGTATATTAACTCAGACAAGCGTTTACTTTTCATCCATGCATGCAGTCGATGTCCAAACTTTTTGCATCTGACTTGGATACTGATTTTCCGAATACTAGCTCACAGACAAATTCAAAATTGGAAAAATGTAGATTTGTCCTTCTACTTTAGTAAATTACCCACGTTTATTCTTAGTTATACTATGTGTCTAAATGCGTTCTCACCGTTAAGAAAGTAAACAAATTCACCCCAACCCTAACAGAGTTCCACCGTAGCACCGGGACCTTCTCTTTTAACTTCCACTTATAAGTAAATTTCTAACCTAAATTAAAAAGACATATTCTAATTATCTGACCCAACTATCCAAGATACATTTACTTAATTTATTTACAAAAGTGACACTACAAGAAATGAGCTTATTAGTGGCGACAGAAGTCGCCACAGAAAGTCAAAAGTCGCCACAAATGATCTTTAGCGGCAACTCTATGGTCGTTGAGTATACTAAGTGGCTGATATTTATACGTAACGACCATGAAGAGTCGCCACTAAAGATATTTTTTTAGCGGCAACTTTGTCGCCACAAATGGTATAGTAAGATCTCTCCAAAAATTGGCCTTGAGAAATAATCGCCACTGAACGTTACAATTGGTGGCGACTAAGGTCGCCAGTATAGACATTTAGTGGCAACTCTAGTCGCCATAAAAAATATTAATTTAGTGGCAATATTTTTTTTTTAACCGTGGTTCCAGGCATCGCTTTGCGAACCCGACTAGCTGTACCCCCGGGACCCGCTGTTTCAATGCGTGCACAAGGGTTAGTTCCACGGGGCCCTGGAGACGCGGCCGGTTTGTAATGCCTCCAGTGGCCCTGCGGGGGCTCGAACTGGCAACCTGAAGGACTTTGTCCTCAGGCCTTTACCAGTTGAGCTACCCCTCAGGGTTATTTAGTGGCAATATTAGTCGTCACAGAAAACCTCACCTTTTGTGTCAACTTGCGTCGCCACTGATGCTATTTGGTTTTGATGGCACCTAAGAATCGCCACCAAAATATTTTTGTGTCAGCAAAAGGTCGCCACAGTTAAGCTTCTTTGAAAATTTAATCACTAGAAAAGCAGTTTTTTAACTAAAATTAATACATAATTTTTTCATATATTTATGCTAACCGCCAAACATTAATGCAACCATTAATATTATGAAATCTGAACAATAGAATCTTTTCATTGCTAAAAGGTCAACGCAACATAAAGTAGTAAATACATTATCATTGTGCGTACAAACAGCAAAACACATAAACAGTCTTCTTATATGCCAATGTATTCTACCATATACAAAAAGAATAGTCAGCAAACTAGTCCAATATCTTCAAAGTACTCCAACATCTTCAAAAAGCTCCTTGAGCAACTTCATTTCCCCATTGTTGAATATTTCATCCTTGCTATTAAGAAAAATAAAGACACACATTATCAGTATATGCAACATGTAAAAGGAATGCAAATTCTAAGTTAAGTACTAGAGGAGAGGTCGGATACTCACTTGACAAAACATAGTTCAAGGTTCATGCATAGGGACAAATAGAAAACTAAATAACTAATTAATTGTAGTTTCTCATTATTAATGAACAAATGGAAAATGAAACGATTGACTGCATTTTCTCATAAGTACCAACATCGATATTAAAATAAAAAGTAAGGACTAAACATTTGAAAGTATCTAGAGAAGAAAATTATGTTGTCTTAGTTTATTGGAATCCCTTAGACTCAGAGAGAAACTAGTTGGTACATAGCACATCATCTACAAACTAATACTTGTATGGAAGAAGCAACAAGATAAAACTGATAAATCTACTATGCACCTCATGAAGAAAATACTCAGAATGCTAGGAACTTATAGTACCTTTGACAAAATCCTAGCAAGGAAACTAAAATCTCTATAACATAATTTCAAGTTCATTCCTCATCTTTTCTTCCCTAAACAACTAAAGAATCTGATTTTTATGAATGTCAAAAATATTATTGGCCACTCATCCATGTATGAAAATTAAACTCCACTGGGCGTGCCAGAATTTGTAGACAATAAATTGCGTCAAGAAAATATAATCAAGACCGAAAATATCGCAACAATCGTAGTATTTTAAGTGTACAATCTCTATGAATCCTCTGATTCTTCTTTCCAACAGTAAATAAATTGAAGGGCCTTTGAGCTTGATCTTGAATCTATATTTGTTTTCACGAACGATGATCTTGTTCTTGAGCTTTAGCTTGATTGCTTGAACTTGACCTTGATTTGTTCTTCGTTCTTGAGCTTGAACTTGATTTGTTCTTTGTTCTTGAGCTTGAACTTGATTGCTTGAAGCTTGAAACTTGTAGAGAAATTTGCGGCGTTTGATCCACGAGCTCTCTCTTGCTTCTTGTTATAACTTCTGGTGTCTTTTCTGAGTTATGAAGACCCCTATTTATAGTTGTGGAAGGGAGGAGTCATGATAAGAACAAACTCTTTCCGACCAATCAAATTGAAGTGTGACATGGCCGCATTTGATTGGCCAGAACATGTCACTTGCACACGTGGCGCGATTTCATTGGCCTTTAAGTGTGACTGGGCATGCCTTGTCATTTTGACACGTGGCATGATCCTATTGGCTCTTTCGCTTGACTTGGCACGCCATGTCATTTGACACGTGGCACCAAACTGGGCCTCTAGGAAGATTACATCTTGGGCTTGATGAAGTGGGCTCATCACTTTAGCCAAATTAAATGGGCTAGCCCAATGGATTAAGACTTATTTATTTAACCCATATGTATTGGACTTATATAAGTAATTCATTTATATATTAGCCCATAGTATTTATTTGAACTAATATATCTTGAATTTAAAATATAGTCCAAATTATTTTATGGATTTAATTTTAAGTAAAATTTATGTGACTACAAATGTTCCCTACTTCAAGACTTGTTTGAGGCATAAATAAACTTGATAAACCTCAATACTAGGCTTGAAGTATAATTGAATTATCAAATCAGACTCAAGTTAATATATTTTTTTTTCTCGGGCCAAATTAGAACTTCTGAAAAAGTATCCATGCACTTTATTTGTAGTGCATAGAGCTTCTGAAAAAGTATCTTTGAGGTTCATAGAGCTTGTTTGAGCAAAAAAGTATGAGACCTTTTTTGTTAAACTAATTAAATAAGAAGATGGAGGGTAAATCCTAGTTAAGGATAATTAACTCTAGATCCGAGATGAATAATATGAATAGAAAAACACAGCTGAGTATCAATGCTGAGAGTGATCATGGCCAGACTTAATAGCACAAAGAAAGATGCATTAAGTAACATTAAATGGCAATAAAATGTAAATAAAGGAAAGGATTCACCCAATCTTGAGTGAGACAGATCTTCTTTCATTTGATAAAGATGAATGATAAACAAATACAAAAACCTTAGGACCCTTTTTGGATCTGATGAAGGTCTGAGATCACATATCTTCTAATCTCTTTAGAGAGGAGCGTTTGCATTTTTCTACAGAGAGGGAGAGGGAGGGGGGGGGGAGGGGAG